CTCTGCTCCCCCTCTTGTCCGTCCTCTTCTCCCCCGTGTCGCTCTGCCTCGTCTGATCAGCTCCTCGCCTAGATTTCTCGGCTTTGAAGACTACGCTCTCCTCATCATCCCCCACGTCCGCCTCCTCCCCCGTCTCTGTCCCTCTCCTGCCATTCTCGCGTATCCCTGATCCGACCCCATAGCATGTCACTGTTTATCCTCTCTCTCCCGCTCTCTCTCTCTCTCTCTCTCTCTCTCTCTCGTCTCTCTCTCTCTCTCTCTCTCTCTCTCTCTCTCTCTCTCTCCGATCCTGTTTACTTTTCGGTATGTGTAGTTTTTGTTTCTCTCTCTCTTTCTCTCTCTCTCTCTCTCGATCTATTGCCATATCCCCTATCGTGCTCTCTATCTCTCTCTCTTTCCCTTTCTCCCGCTCCCGCTGTCACTCCTCCGTCTGTATTTGCCTTCCTCCTCTCACTCAATCCTACCGCTCCTCCTCCTCCTCCTCCTCCTCCTCCTCCCCCTCCTCCTCCCCCTCTCCCTCCTCCTCCTCCTCCTCCTCCTCCTCCTCCTCCTCCTCCTCCTCCTCCTCCTCCTCCCCCTCGTCCTCATCCACCTCTTCCTCCGTCTCGTCGTCCTCCCCCCCTGCTTCGCGGCCTCCTCCTGCCCCTCCTCCCTCCTCCTTTCGCGCCTGCATCTCCTTGCTGTACCCGTACGTCCACTCGATGGGCGTGGCGCCCTCCTGGGGAACGGGGGGATGAGTGGCGCGTGCGGGGGCAATGGTAAGGATGCGAGCTGGTCTGGCATATTGGTTCGACATGCGACGATCGGTCGACGCGCGGCGGTCGATCGATCGAGGGGCACGGCGACCGCCGACCCCCCCCCACCCCCTTCCAGGCGCACGACGATTGACCACCTAGGGTTGGGGCCGTGCGACGATGGATCGAGGGGCACGGCTGCCGCCGCCCCCCATTCGCTCCTCTCCTCGACCTCGCTCTTCCGAGCCCCCTATCTCCCCCCCACCCTCTCCACGCCTCCCCCCATTCTTTCCGTCCCCCGACGCACTCCTTTGCCCCTCCCCCCCGTCTCATCATCCTCCACCTTCTACTCCGCCTTCCCAGCCTCCTCCTCATCCTTCTTTCCCTCATCCCCTCTTCTCCTCGCGGCTGCTGCTGCTGCTGCTCATCCTCCTCCACCTCCTCTTTACTCGTTTCGCCCAGCGAGGATCCTTCTCGACGAAGGTGATGAGCCACGACGGCTTGCTCCCGCGGCTCCTCGCCAGGTGGGCAGGGGGGTCGGAGGGCGCACGGCGCAAGGCAGGGCTGGGGCGAGGATGGCGCGAGGAGAGGGAGAGAGGGAATGAGGCGGAGAAGGAGGATGAGAAGCAGGAACAGCGGAGCAGGAAGATAAGGAGGAGGAGGAGGAGGGTCCTCCCGTCACCACTCCTCCATATCCTTCTCCTCCTCCTCCTCCTCCTTCTCCTCATTCTCCTCCTCCTCCTCCTCCTCCTCCCCTCCTCGCCCTCCTCCTCATCCTCCCCCATCCTCCCCCTCGTCCCACTCACCCCCTTAAATTTCTCACGATGGTGCGGGGGGGGGGTGCTACTGGGGTTATCCAGGATTCATTGGGCGATCGGCTGTCCTGAAGCGCACCATCGCCTGCTCGACGTGCCGCATCATCGCGCGGAGCCGGCGCGCCACGCGAGTGCACCAGTCCGACATGCCATCGGCGAGGTGCCAGGTGTCCTCGTGGAAACTCGCCAGCGCCTCCAGCTGCTTCACGAGCGCGGCCTCACGAGGAAGGAATGGAGAAGGAGAAGGAGACATGGAGGAGACATGATAGAGAAGGAGCAGGAGAGTTACGAGCCTGCGTCAAGCTCGTCGCGGGCTTCACGGCCACCCGCAAGGCCACGATGAAGTCAGCCCACTTCACCAGCGCCTCAGGGTCGATGTCGCCCTCGAGGTCGCCAGTGTAGTCCTCGAGCTCCGTCGGTTCCTTCAGGAAGTCCGTCAGCACGCTCAGGACCTGCGTGGCGTCGCCACGCGCCCTCGGCGGCATCGCGCCCAGGGCGACGGGCCAAGAACAGGCCGCGCGCGGCAAGCCAAGATTGCCGCGACATCGAGGGTTGAGAAACTGACCCTCGCCCAGAAGGGTTGGAACGGTGCAGGTGAACAGGGGAGGGGGAGGAGGCAGGAGGAGGGGCACGGGCGAGAAAGAGTGGCAGGATAAGTGTTGAAGCGACGCAAGGGAAAGAGATTGCGTAGGTAAAATGCAGCAAAGGGTGCAGCAGCGACACCTGGGACGGGGATGCAGCAACATGAGAGGGGAGGTATCTACTTGGACCTGGAGAACCTCATGCTTTGCCTGCTGCTTGCTTGCTGCATTGCTGGTCGTTCGGGGTGTTTCGTGTTTTGTTTGAGGATGTCTCGCGCGAAACGCTAACTTCTGTATGTGCAGGCTGTCTCGAGCGAAACGCTACTTTCTGTAAGTATATGTATACATATATATTCTCAAAAATAAGATGTTATATGATGTTGGGTGTGGTATCTTATTTTAAGATGCTCAGCAGTGGCGAAGCGTCCCCGGTCGCCTATAGCCCCACCAAGCAATGTTCTAAGAACCTCTTGTGGTTCCCATGAAATGTTAGACAATTTCTGGCTGGGGCTGTCCTGTTTTAACACATCGGGTTTATGTTTTAAGAACATGGTTTGAATTCTTAGAACATTTGTGGGTTCTAAGAACATTTCGCGGTGTGACTATAGGAATGCCGGGACGGTCGGTCCGTGCTCAAATCTTCAAACATGGTTTAAAAAGAGTATGGGGCGATCTTTGTAGGTATTGGTGTTTTTTTCGACGACTTTGAAACCATTGTGCTGTTCGTCCCACGCCCGCCTGTAGGAGGGCACGCCCGACCCACGAGTAGTTGTAAATCGGGTAGGTCCTACTACAGAAGGAGAGTTCAGAAACAGGTTTTAAATTCGTGTGGGGACGACTTTTCGTTTTTATTTGTTAACTTTCGAACATCATTGGGCCATGTTTCATGTTTCGTCCACCATCTGCCTGTAGGCGGACACGCCCGACCTAATGGTAGCTGTAAATCGGGCGGGTCCTTCTATTGGAGGGGTATTCAAAAATAAGTTTTCAAATCGTCGGGGGACGATTTTCCATTATTCTGGACCATCCTTGAATTTTGTTTGACATTGGTTTGTTGTCCAAAATCCGCCTGTAGGCGGACATGTTTGGTGGAAGGGTAGCCCTGCGTCCCAGATCCATGCTGGCGGCGCGCACAAGGGGGTGGAGGGAGGCAGTAAGGCTTCTTAGAAGGAGGCTGCTTCTTAGGAGGTGCCGGCCTTACATCTACAGATAAGGCCCGCGCCTTCTAAGAAACACGGGTGCTTTTAAGAAGCCCCCCCCCCTCCCTCCACCCCGTGGTGCGCGCCGCCAGCCATGCTCGATGGCCCCGTGGCCCTGCGGCGGGCCCCCGCGGCCGAAGTCGAAGACCATCGCCCGAGCTCTGGGCGGCCTTGCCGTGAAGAGCTCTCTCGGCGTCGGATGCCGGGCGTGCCACGGGCTACAAAGAAATATCGACCTATGGTTCAACGTTGAAAAATTGTGCAAGGTGATAGAATAGGTCCGGAAACGTATCGATGCACCTTTCCAGAGTCCCCAAACGCCGAAGATTCGAACACAAAACGTATATCGGAGGTTGGGGGGTGAGATCGCAGTGAAACGGAGACCCCCGACCGGGAAATCGGTTTCGGTTTCGTGTTCGTGTCGTGCGTGCGCGCGAGGCGAAGCTGCGCGTGATCCTCCTGTAGCTAGGCCGAAGTTGGAGCGGAAGTCCGTTTCCGTCCGCCGATGGCCGGGAGGTGTCCCGGTTGGGCTGGGCGGTGTCTCGGGTGTCCCGGGTGTCCGTTTCCCGTCCGCCGGTGGCCGGGAGGTGTCCCAGTTGCGTTGGGCGGGGTCCCCGGTGTCCTGGGTGGCCTGGGCGTTCTGGCGCTTCGCTAACGCATGTCGCTGATTTCATATTTCATTTTTTTCGGCACTTGCGGCGGGCTCTCTTATCCAATCCAGCTTATCTTATCCAATCCATCTTATCCAATCCATCTTATCTTATCCAACCCATTTTGTCCCATCTTATCTTATCCCACCCAATCTTATCCACCCAACCCAATCTATCAATTCATTTGTTTCTGCGCCTGCGGCGGGCCAATACAATCCATCTTATCATATCCAATCCACTTTGTCCAATCCAACCCATTTTATCTCATCGAATCCATCTTTTCCCATCCAATCCAACCCACCCAACCCAATCCATCAATTCATTTTGATCGGCGCCTGCGGCGAGCTTCCATTCCAGCTTATCTTATCCAATCCATTTTGTCCAACCCAATCCATTTTATCTCATCCAACCCATCTTGTCCCATCTGTTATTATCCACCCAATCCAATCCATCCAACCCAATCGATCAATTCACTTGTTTCTGCCTCCTTATCGCCCGCAGGGGTGTCGTATAGGTATTTGTTTCTGCTCCAGCATTCTCGCACCGTCCGCGTCCCGCTTGTGCAGCAGCCGCCGTGGACCCGCCGGCGGGGCCGGCCGCGCCACGCGCTTTGGGCGTGACCCGTCTCCCATGAGCGGCCTCGCTCCTCTCCCCCACTCTTTCGGCCGCTTCTTCTCTCCCGTCCCCTCCTCCTTGCATGGTGGCACAGTTCGCTGCAACGGCACCCCCGTTTAGCCAGCCCTCCGCCAGCGCCGTTGCTCTGCCCAGCCGCCGGCGCAAGCGTGTGCCTCGGTACGTTGGCGCCTCGCCGCCGGGGACGCTCCTAGATGCGTGGGCGCCCCAGGAGTCTAGACGCAGCCGGAGGCTCGGCTACAAGAGCTGCTGCCCCCCTCCCTTTTGCTATCCCCACCCCCACGTGGCGCCCAGAGGCGCTGATTCCCAAACGTCACCCTTAGCTACTCGGTTTCGTGCGAGCCGAGAAGAGACCTTGGCGTCGGATGCCGGGCAGGCCACTGGCTACATGTTCCTCTGCCTGTCTTCGACGCAAGCCGAGTACGAGGCGACCAATTTGCTGGCGGCGCCCGGGGGGGACTTCGGCAGGATGCGGGCGGGCATTAAGGCCACGGGGGGGGGGTAGAATGGGAGGAGATGGAGGGTGGAGGAGGAGAAGGGCCAGTGTACACCGAAGACGCGTCGACTATGTTTCAATGAACCCTGCCTCCAAGACCAAGTTCCCTCTTCGTGGGTCCTTGTACGACTTTCCTGTTCACTGCGGGAGGTGCCCCATTGGAAGACAACCGTCTGGGAGTTTTGAACCGTGCCACAACTCCACACCACTCCTGGGAAGCAACGCCGCAAATCAACGTGACTGTTGCGTCCAGGCAATCCTTAACAGTGCAAGCCAACACTCCGAATCAACGTAAGTGTTGCGTCATGTGAATTCTAAATCGCGCCAGATAGCCGCTCTTTGGACTTCAACCATGCGAATTCTTCAAGTAGTTTCGCACTTTCGAAAACGAATGTTCCCGGCGCTAGGGCGAAAACCACATTTTGAAAGCCTGCCGCCCTCAATCCTTAAAGCTGTTGCGCACTTGTGTGCGCGGCGCTAAGGCGCGAGCAGCATTTTGAAAACCTGCCGGTCTCCATCTTTGAATTTGCTGCACTTTTCAAGCTTCAGGATCATGCTGAGGAAGTCTCATGCGAAACGCCCAGCCCGCCCTACCGACACGTCCGGGGATGCGACACGGAGGACTGTTCATAACAAAAACATGGAGGGAGGAGGATCGTAGTCAGGAGGAGGAGGAGGAGGAGGAGGAGGAGGAGGAGGAAGAGAAGGAGGAGGGGGGAAGTGGACGTCGAGGCCGACACCCTGCTCTTCCTGTTCAACGTCGACACCTTCATGGTGATGGGCCCCTTCGTTGCCGTCGGGAGCCCGGGGCTCGCCATAGACCCCGAAGCGTTCGGAGGCGAACTGCAGGCGCAGGTGCGGCTGGGGATTGTCGTCGTTGGTTGTTCTCGTCGTCGTCGTCGGGGTCGTCGTCGTCGGGGTCGTCGTCGTCGGGGTCGTCGTCGTCGGGGTCGTCAGCGACGTCTTCGTCGAGGTCTTCGTCGAGGTCGTCTTCGTCGAGGTCGTCGTCGTCGTCGTCGTCGGTCGTCGCCGTCGTCGTCGTCGTCGCCGTCGACGTCGTCGTCTCGCTGCCGTCGTCGGCTCGCCGCCGCCAGAGAACCGGGTTATGACCCGGAAGCCAGTCGACGAGGATCAGTACGGGGAAATGCGGTGGATGTGGACATGTTTGCCCTCCTCTAGGGGCCCTATCTTTACATGTATAGCCACCCTTTGTCGAGGTCCCCGAAGGTCGATCCCCCAGGCGGTTGTTATGGATGCAGTCCCCGCCTCGGAAGCACTCTCCTGCGCACAGCGCCCACTAGGGCGATGTCACTGCGGGCAGCAGCCAGTGCCCAGACATCCGATGTCTTGTTTTTTTTCCATGCGCGGTCCCCAGAAGTCCTGACTCCTTTCCCCAGGGCCAGCTTGTTGTGACGGTCCCGGGACCAGGCGAGGGCCCTTCTAGTCCGACATTCGCCAAGACCGTACCGTCCTATTTTTTTCGCCGCCGCGAGGATGTCAGGGTATGTGAAGAACTTCCGACTTGTTTTTCCAACCATAATGTGGTTCTCTTTTTGATGCGACAGTGCCCCGCGTTCCTCTCCTCCTCCTCCTCCTCCTCCCCCTCCGTCCTCCTCCTCCTCCTCCTCCTCCTCCTCCTCGTCATCATCATCATCATCATCATCATCATCATCATCATCACCATCACCGTCATCACCGTCATCAGCATCATCGTCATTCTCATCATCATCATGATCATCAACACCATCATTATCACCATCATCACCATCATCGTCATTCTCATCATCAGCATCACCATCACCGCCATCATCGACATCATCATCATCATCGTCATTATCATCAGCATCCTCATAAGCATCATGATCGCCGTCATCATCGTCACCATCATCATCATCATCATCATCATCATCATCATCATCATCATCATCATCATCATTGCCATCACCATCATTGTTAACATCATCATCATCATCATCATCATCATTATCGTCGTCGTCGTCGTCATCGGCTGTAGTGTTGGGTTTCCTTCTCCCCTCCCTTCATCATCATCATCATCATCATCATCATAATCATAATCATGGTCATCAGAAGCATCGTCATCATCATCATCATCATCTTCAGCATCGTCATCATCAGCATCATCATCACCACCATAATCATCATCAGCATCAGCATCAGCAACAACACCATCGTCATCATCATCATCATCATCATCATCATCATCATCCTCAGGCTCAGCCTCAGTCTCAGCCTCATCCTCATCCTCATCCTAATCCTCATCCCCATCCTCATCCTCATCCTCAGTCTCATCCTCATCCTCATTCTCATCATCCTCATCCTCATTGTCATCCTCATCCTCATCATCATCATCATCATCATCATCATCATAACCATCATAATTGTCATCACCATCGTCGTCATCATCGTCTTCATCACCAGCATTGTCTTCATCTTGCTCTCCTCCATCATCACCATTACCGTCACCACCATCATCATCATCACCATCACCATCACCACCATCCTCATTTTCATCACCATCATCACGATCATCCTTCTCATCGTCATCGTCGGCATCAGCATCCTCATCCTCATCCTCCTCCTCATCCTCATCCTCATCCTCCTCCTCCTCATCATCCTCATCATCGTCATCACCATCATCATCATCCTCCTCCTCCTCCTCATCCTCCTCCTCATCCTCATCCTCATCCTCATCATCCTCATCATCCTCCTCATCCTCCTCATCCTCCTCATCCTCATCCTCATCCTCATCCTCATCCTCATCATCCTCATCCTCCTCATCATCATCATCATCATCATCATCATCATCATCATCATCATCATCATCATCATCATCATCATCATCATCGTCGACACACTCCTCTCACGGTTCGTGGCCCCATAGGGAGCTCAACCGAAGGCGCAGTGGCAGGGTCCGCAGAACGCTCCTGCCTTATTTGGCCCCCCCCTCACACGTTTCGGGGTCCCATAGAAAGCTCCACCGAAGGCCCTAGCGGCAGGGTTCGCATGGCGGCCGTGCCCATTCTGGCACACCATCCACACGTGTCGTGGCCCCATGGGGAGCTCCACGAATGCGGTACCCGCAATTTCGTGTGTTTGGGCCTTTCGCCAGGAGTAGTTTTCAATGCGCTGGGAGGTCTGGGAGCGCAGCGCCCCCCCCCAAAGGTCGAGGGGCGCCGAGGCTGGGGCCACGAGGGCGAAGCCTCTGCCGGGTGATGGCGCGGGCCCGAGCGGTGCGGGCGCCACACGCCGTGCGGTGAGCCCGTGGGGCTTCGGGGTGCCCGGCCCCCCTCGCGCAGAGACGAGATCACGACGGTTTTCCGCTGTTTGCGGCCTCCAGGGAGGGAGGGAGGGAGAGAGGGAGGGAGGGAGGGAGGGAAAAGAAGGAGGGAGGGAGGGAAGGAGGGAGGGAGGGAGGGAGGGAAAAGAAGGAGGGAGGGAGGGAAGGAGGGAGGGAGGGAGGGAGGAGAAAAGAAGGAGGGAGGGAGGGAAGGGAGGAGGGAGGGAGAAGAGGAGGGAAGGAGCGAGGGATGGGGGCCGTCACCAGGGTTCGGGACAGTCGAGAAAAAAACGACTCGGGATGAGAAGCTGGTCATGGGAACAGGGTCGGGACCCTCTGGGAGTCGACACCACCATGGAAGAGTCATGGCGTCGGGGGCCTGGGGAAGCCAGGGCGAGGATGACATCGGGTGACACATCGAGGAGCTCCGAGGGTCTCGAAATTCGAGGGCCCCGCCATGGCAAAAGCACGACGCCGGGGGTCTGGGTGGCCGGAGGGTGTTCCTCGGGGGGCGGACCGTGCGGGCAGGTCGTGCCGAGGGCCTCGAGGCCACCGCCCGGGCTGCCTCCGCCCCGCTTCGGACGCCCCTCCCGGCCGTGCTCCGACGTGTATTGCTCCCGTCCGCAGCCCCGGAGGTCCCGGCCCCTCCCCCCCCCGCTCTGTTTTCTGCCCCGTACCTCGCCACCCACCAAGCCACCCCAACCCAACGTGAAGCCCTCAATCTGCCTTCCATTTCCAGTGGGGGGGGGGTCGTGGAACGTTGAAACAGCACATGGAATCCGTACCCCCCCCAACCCGAAATTCGGGTCAAATTCGGGTCTTCGCGTTGGGTTGGGGTGGTCTGGTAGATAGTCAGTGCCTTTTTGCCGATGGTCTCGGGGGCCCGATGACGGGCCCCAGAGTTCTGATGATCCAGCCTGCTGTAGCCTCGAGCACCAGAAGGCATGTCGAGCACCAAGAAGATGCTGAAACCTGAGGGCTTCCACGTGCCGGGCCCCGGGAGGCGACACTCGTTCGACACTGTTTTGCGATGCTTTTCCAGGCGCTCGAAATGATTTCTGGGATGTGGCCGTCAAGTGCGATGGGAGCAACGTAACCCCACAGCCCAGAGTCGAGGCAGAACGTCCAGATCGAGAAAACGGTCGGTGCGTCTGTCCCCGCACCGTTTTTGATGGGCCTATTCTCCACCACCGCTACCATGTGTAGGATGTGGAGGAGGAGGAGGAGGAGGAGGAGGAGGAGGAGGAGGAGGAGGAGGAGGAGGAGGAGGGAGGAGGAGGAGGAGGAGGAGGAGGAGGAGGACGAGGAGGAGGAGGAGGGAGGAGGAGGGAGGAGGAGGAGGACCTCCCCAACCTCCATTCTCCCCCGTCCTGCCCATGGCAGGGGTGGCGGAAGCTGTGCCCATCAGTTTTGGAGCGCCGATGCCCGCGCGCCGCGAGGGGAGCCTCCCCTGCCAGGTGCGGGCGCGGCCCCTGCAGTCGCCCGTCATGGAGCGCAAGCTCAGCTCCCGGCACGCCACGGGCCCGATGACCGCGCCGGAGGCTTCGGGCGACAGCGACGAGCTCGACGACGGCGAGCTCGACGACGACGGCGGCGTTGACGGCGGCGTTGACGACGACGACGACCACCTCGACGACCACCTCGACGACAGTCTTGATGGTCATCTCGACGACGACGGCGTTGACGACGGCGTTGACGACGGCGTCGGCCGCGGCGTCGGCGACGACGAGGACGATGACCACCTCGACGACCACCGCGACGATAATCTTGATGGCCCTCTCGACGACGACGACGACGATGACGATGACGACGAGCTCGACGATGACGACGACGGCGTTGACGACGGCGTTGACGATGACCATCTCGACGACCACCTCGACGACAATCTTGATGGTTATCTTGACGACGACGACGACGACGGCGTTGACGACGGCGATGACGACGACGACGACGGCGGCGGCGGCGACGACGACGACGACGACGACGATGACCACCCCGACGACCACCTCGACGACAATCTTGATGGCCCTCTCGACGACGACGGCGGCGGTGGCGCGGGCGGAGGAGGAGGAGGCGGCGTCGGTGGCGACGACGACCGCAGACCTCCCAGTCGGGGGCCCAAAGCCCCTGAAGATAGCCAGCCAGCACGGGCCGGCCTGCTCGCGCTGCTGCGGCGGCTGCTCCTCCTCCTGCTCCTCCTCCTCCTCCTCCTCCCTCCCCCTCCCCCTCCCCCTCCTCCCCCTCCTCCTTCGAAGAAACAAAAACGCTACAAACATAATCTTTTGGCGTTCCGCGCGGATTTCTTTGATCCGCGCTGGGCCCCCCAGGCGGCGCCTCCGGCGCCGCCACTGGCGCGCCCCGCGCGCCAGGGAGGGGGTCCATCGGGGATCCAAGAAATCCGGGCGGGCTGGCGAAAGTGATGTGTATGCTGTTTTTCTGCTACTCCTGTGATCACCCCTCCTCCCCTCATCACTCCCCCCGCCCCTCAACCCGCACCCCCCCTTGCCCTCTCCCTCGCCAGGCGCATGCTTCGACACTCTTGAACCTCATGCGTCACGACCACAACAAAACGAGGCACCGAAAGATCACGCAGCAACGCCGCGTGCACAGTTCGAATCCCCCAACCCAGCCACAGTCTACTGAATACCCGCGGATCGGCGGGGGTCAAGAGACAGGAGGCAACACAAACGGGGGTCAGTCAGAGCGCAGGATCTTGCAGGATCCTGCGGAGCCAGGGCTGCACTGACCCGGGTTTGCATGCAGGGTCCTGCAAAGCCCGACCTGGGTTTGGATTGACCAAGGTCAGTAGATCACCGAGGATCCAGCGACGCACCCCGCGGGCCAGGAAAAGGGCGTCCTTTGCCGCAAGCCTCTTGGAGCTCCCAGACATCAGACGTCGTGCTTTTTCTTAGCAGCTTGGCTCCCCAGAGGTCCGGACCCATTGCCGCGGGCGGTCGTCTTCGCCCGAGCAGTTTCTTCGACGGTTGGCCCGGGTGAGGGCCCCCCAGAGGGCAGAGAGCCAGCAGAACGCTCCCCGCCGCGACTTCCTCTCGGGGCGCGAGGAGGTCTAGGGCAGGCAGGGGCCTCCACAGGGGCCGCAGACGGCCGACAAGACCTGCTGGCGTGGTGCTCTCCTGGGGATCCGGTGCCCGGAGGCTTTCAGCGCGGAGCTTACCTGCAGCCTCGGCCCTCCTCCCGGAGACACACTGAGACGTTCTTTCGACAGGCGGATGAGGAAGAGGAGGAGGAGGAGGAGGACGACGACGAGCAGGAAGGCCAGACGCCTCTTGGATGCCTCTTTCGGAGTCTCCTCGGATTTCTTTCGAGCATTTCTTGGGCACGGAGGGGGCCGAGACCGGAGGAAGGCCGCCGTTCTGATGCTCTGCAGGGCGTGGGAAGCCTGGGCTCTGGCGGCGCGAGGAGCCGTTGCCCTCGGGACCCCTCTCCGTCATGGCCGCTGGGCCAATGTTCCACCACCGCTACCATAGGTAGGACGGGGGAGACGGGAGGATGGGGAGGTCCCCCCCCTCCTCCTCCTCCTCCTTCTCCTCCTCCTGTTCCTCTGCCTCCTCCTCCGCCTCCTCCTTCTGGTAACCCGCTAGAGCAGGCTCACCGCACCAGATCCCCAGAGGTGATCAGCACAATGTCGACGGAGCTTTCTCGTGTACCGTGGCCGTGCACAGTGCACATCGCCAGCGCAGTCACCCTCTGCCCAGCCGCGACGTAACAAGTGAATGTTTCGGTGGCGTGCGTGTTGGTTTTGCTCGAGGGCCCAGGGTGGTCCCCGATGGTCGTCGCCGGGAACACAATGCACCCGTCCGACCGATGCCAAGAGAGAGGGGGGGGGGCGGGCAGTGCCGCCCGCCCTCTCCCCTTGGCCCCCTTCGCTGGTGGAGGGGCTGGGCCGCCATTGAGGGGCCAATGTTTCACCACCGCTATCACAGGTAGGAGAGGGAGGAGGAGGAGGAGGAGGAGGAGGAGGAGGAGGAGGAGGAGGAGGAGGAGGAGGAGGAGGAGGAGGAGGAGGAGGAGGAGGAGGAGGAGGAGGGGGGGGAGGAGGGGGAGGAGGAGGAGGAGGAGGAGGAGGAGGAGGAGGAGGAGAGAAGGAGGAGGAGGAGGAGGAGGAGGACCTTGACCTTGAATCACACGTAGTCCGACTCGTGTCACCCCACGCAGGATGGGGAGGGGGGGACGGGGCGCGGCCGAACAGCCGAAGCACACACGGGGAGGGGGCGTCCTCGCGCCGGCGAGCTCCCCCATGCCTCGGGCACGCGCGGCGGTCGGCGGCGCGCGCAAAGTTGGGGGGGGGGGAAGGGCGGCGCGAGCGGGGGCGGCCTCGCGAGATGGGGGAGGGGGGGCGCTCGGACAGCCCGGGCGCTGACGTGGGCACCGCGCGCCGGGCCCTCCTCCCGGCGGGCCCCTCGGGCCCCTCGGGCCGGTGGGGCCCGTCCGTGGCACGCCCGGGCCCGCCGTGGCCGGCGGAGAGCGCCCTCGCCGCTCGGTCGGGCGCTAGCTCCAGCACAAAGCTGGGAGGGGGGGGGGGAGGGGGGAGGGGGGAGGGGGGAGGGGGGAGGGGGGAAGGGGGGGAGGGGGGAGGGGCAAGCTAGGTGCGCTCGCGTCATATCTGACGTCCTACCCCTCCCTCCCATCCCTTACCATGGCGCTGATTTTCTCTATCCGCGGACGCGTGTCGTAGCGGACCTGTGGCTCCGCGCGCGCGTGCGTAGTGGGTGGTGGTGCACGTGCGTGCGTGCGTGCGTGTGTGCGTGGTTGTCGTGGTGGTGGTGGTGGTGGTGGTGGTAGTGGTGGTGGTGGTGGTGGTGGTGGTGATGGTGGTGGTGGTGCTGGTGGTGGTGGTGTGGTGGTTGGTGCTGGTGGTGGTGGTGGTGGTGGTGGTGGTGGTGGTGGTGGTGGTGGTGGTGGGCGGCGCGGTGGTGGCGGGCGGATGGGCGCGCGAGAAAGAGGCCCGCGCTGGGGCGAGAACGCCATCCTGAACGACGGAGGCCAAACACCGATCCGAAAATGAGGCCCACGCTGCAGCGGGAGCACGATTCGGAACGATTCGGGAGCAGAAATGAGGCCAGCGCCTCAACGAGAGCAGCATTTTGGGAAAAAATGACGCCGGCGCCTCAGCGAGAGTCGTTTCCCGGGATTTCCCGGGAATCCTGTGTGTAAAAAAACAGTACGCGGAGGGTGCGCGGCCATCACCCGGACGCCATCAGGGGAAGAGGGAGAGTATTTTCATATAGAGTAATTGTGGAGGAGGGGGAGGGAGGGGAGGGAGGGAGGGAGGGAGGGGGAGGGGCGCGGCCTCCTCGCGCCGGCGGCGGGGAGGGGCCTCCCTCGGGTCGGGCGAAAGGGGGGGATAGCCAAGGGGGGGGGGTTTGAGAACCAGCTGCATGCAGCCGATTTTCCCGGCGCCTCCCGGCGCGGAGGCGGCATGGATCGAGGCATGGGCCCCTGGGGGCCGAAACCAGGCGCGTGCAGCAGATTTCGCCCCCCCCCCCCCTTCCCAATCCCCCCCTTTCGCCCGGCGCGACTCTTTCAGGAGGGGAAAAAAACACACAGACACAATTAATCGGCGATTCCCAGACAATATGGGAAAATATGGGAAGTGGGGGGGAAGACAAAAACCCAGAAAACATGGGACAATCTGTTTTTTTTGTTTTTTTTGTTGTTTTGTTTTTTTTTGTTTTTTAAAATTTGTGTGTATTTCTTTGTGTGTTTGTGGGCCCCTTCACTTTCGCCCGGCCCGACTCTTGGGGGCCCCGCGGGCCCGAGGCGAGGCTGCTGCTGGCGAAGCTGCGCGGCGGCACGGCCGCCGAGGCCGTGGTGCAGCAGGCCTGGGGCCAGCCCGAGGAGTCTCGGGGAGGTGAAGAAACACACACAGAGACACGAGCAGTCGTCGACCGTCAGAGATCTACGTAGGCCTCCCAGATGGGGTCGGAGCAGATGGGGTCGGAGGATCGCGCCGCATCACCGATGAATCGCCAATGCGGCTCGATGCGGAGTCCGATTTGCTTCACATCGACGTCGCCAATGTATCGCCCACATCGCCAGTGCATCGCCGGTGCATCGCCGGTGCATCGCCGATGCATCGCCGATGCATCGCCGATGTATCGGCGATGCGAAGCGATCCTCCGCCACCATCTACTCCGACCCCACCTTGGAGGCCTCTAAGAGAAGTATGAGAAAAATGTGTGGGAAGTGGGGGGGATGACGAACACCCAGGAACTGTGGATTCATATGGGGGCTCGTGGGATCTGTGTCCGTTTATTTGTGTGTCCCAGGGCCCCTTCAGCGTCGGGGGGCGGCAGCCGTTCTGCAGTCGGCCCTGAGTGGTGCGTCGGCCATGCCGAAAATCGAGGGGCACCCTCGTGCCTGGTCTATCCCGACCCGGGCAGCCCGCACGGTCGTTCGGTGCTCTGGGGCCGCGCTGCCGTTGGAAGAACGACGACAGCAGACAACAACCAAACAAACAAACAGACAGGAAACAACAAACAAGCAACCAGGAAACAACGAACAACAAACAGGAAACAACAAACAACAACAAACAAACAACAACCACCACCACCAACACCACCAACAACAACAACAGCAACAACAACTACAATCATTTCACCCTGTTGCGCGATGCTTCCACGCGAAGCGAAGAGAGCTAAGCGATGCCGTAAACATAACAACTCGGGGGTCCGCGCGGATGTCTTGGACCGGCACTGCAGCCCCCTGGCGCGGCGCTTCCGGCGCCGCACAGGGAGGGGGTCCAGCGCCGGTACAAGAACTCTGCGCGGACCTCCGAGTTGTTCTGTTTAGAAGGCAGGGTGCTTCTGAGAAGCCCTCTGAGGGCTTGTTAGAAGCCCTTGGAGGGCTTCTGAGAGGCACCCTACCTTCTACATGCCTCGTCAAACATATTTTGAAACGCTGTTCAAAATCGAGGCGCGCGATACTTGGGGCACTTGTCAGAACTCGTGTTCTTCAATGCTGTGAGGGAAGTGCCGGATTTCGGACCCCCCTGCGTTTGGGCCGAATGCCTCATGCCAGCATTGAGGCAGCGCCGTCCACGCAAGCACTGATCACGAAAACCTGGCGGCGCGCAAAGGGGGGTAGGGGGAGGGGGGAAGGCTTCTTAGAAGCACCCTGCTTCTTAGAAGGCCTCGGCCTTACGTCTATAGAGAAGGCCCGCGCCTTCTAAGAAGCAGGGGTGCTTCTAAGAAGCCTTCCCCCCTCCCCCTGCCCCCCTCTGCGCGTCGCCAGAAAACAGTCAATTCGTTTGTGACGAGTCTCGTAGGAAGCCCTCCGCCCCTCCTCCCGCCACCCTGGGCGCGCCGCCGAAGACGGTGCCTGCCCTCCGAGGCCCCCTCGCGTGGTGAAAGGACGCACGACGCGGGGTTCGGGGTTCGAGGGCAGAGGATCGAGGGTCGAGGGTCGAGGGCCGAGGATCGAGGGTCGAGGGTCGAGGGTCGAGGGTCGAGGGTCGAGGGTCGAGGTCTGCGAGGTTCGCGCCTCGAGGCTCGAGGGCCGAGGCTTCTGGGGCCTTCGGCCCACCGCCAGAAGATGTCCACATCCACTGCCGCGGGGTCGTGGCCTGGGATCTCAAGGAGTGGTGGGAACGGATACAGTGGAAGCGCATGCCAAGAAACCCCTTTTGCCTCCAAGGTGCCCTAGAATTCTTGGGCTTGGATGGTTTGGCACGGAAGCCGTGACGTTCCCGCACCAAAAAATCATTGGGCGTCCTGGGGTCTCAGGGTTGGGCTTCTTGCGGAAGGTTTCTTGCGGTCGAGCTCCCACTGTATCTGCGCGCCCGCGTGGGCGGGCAGATACCCGTGTCTGCGGGGGAGGAGGAGGAGGAAGAGGAGGAGGAGGAGGAGGAAGAGGAGGAGGAGGAGGAGGAGGAGGAGGAGGAGGAGGAGGAGGAGGAGGAGGAGGAGGAGGGGGAGAAGGAGGATGCGGAGGGAGGAGGAAGCGGAGGAAGAGGAGGAGGAAAGGAGGATGCGGAGGAGGAGGAGGAGGAAGAGGAGGAAGAGGAGGCGGAGGAGGAGGAGGAGGAGGAGAGCAGTGGCGAAGACCCCAGGGCGCGGCCCCGCGGCAGTGGACGTGGACACGTCCTGGCAGGGCCTTTTGGGACGTCCACGCCGGCGCTCGGAGGCGCGCTCGGGCCTCGGGGCGCCTCCCGGGCAGCTGCGCCGCGCCAGCCGTGCACCTGCCTCGAGGGCCGAAGCTTCGAGGCTCTCGTCATGGATCGACACTGTCGAGGTTGGCGTCGAGGATCGAGGGTCGAGGCCTGAGGCCTTCGGGACCTTCACGCTTCAGGAGGAAAAGAAACACACAGACACAATTAATCCTCGATTCCCTAGAAAATATGGGAAACTATGGGAAATGGGGGGGAAGACAGAAACCCAGAAAATATGGGAAAATCTGAGGGATATTTTTATTTGTGTGTGTTCATTTGTGTGTCCTGGGGCCCCTTCAACGCTGGCTCTCGGAGGCGCTCCGGCCTCGGGACGCCCTGCGGCAGCGGCGCCCTGCCCAGAGCGCTCCCGGGAGGCCCGAGCTTGCCCTCGAGCGGCAGCGGGAGGCCCGAGGTCGTGGTCCGAAAGCCGGCATCCTCGCGTGGTGACCATCGCACGAAGGTTAGCCAGGAGGAGGAGGAGGAGGAGGAGGAGGAGGAGGAGGAGGAGGAGGAGGAGGAGGAGGAGGAGGAGGAGGAGGAGGAGGAGGAGGAGGAGGAGGGGAGAGGAGGGGAGGAGGAGGAGGAGGAGGGAGGAGGAGGAGGAGAGGAGGAGGAGGAGGAGGAGGAGGAGGAGGAGGAGGAGGAGGAGGAGGAGGAGGAGGAGGAGGAGGAGGGGACGGAGGGGAAAAAACACAGACCAATTCATCGTCGATTTTTCAGAAAATGAGGAGGAGGAGGACGGAGGAGGAGGAGGGAGGAAGGAGGGGGAGGAGGAGGAGGAGGAAGAGGAGGAGGAGGAGGAGGAGGAGGAGGAGGAGGGGAAAAAACACAGACTCAATTCATCGTGGATTTTTCAGAAAATATGGAACATATGGGAAGTGGGGGGGAAAACAACGACCAAGAAAATATGGGGCAATATTGGGAATCTGGTTCTTTGTCCATTTATTTGAGTATCCCAGGGCCCCTTCAACGAAGGGAGAAGGCTTTTTGGTGTTCCTGTGGGCTGCCCAGGGGCCCTTGCAGGGCCCCTGGGGCCGTCAAGAAGGGGCTCGGGGCGGAGAACGAGCCCCTGGGAGCGGGTCGAGATCTCTGGGCCGAGCAGTGGCGCAGCGTCCTGGCTCGCCCGTAGGCCCACCAAAGAATGGTTCTAAGCACCTCCTGTGGTTCAGTGCAATGTTCTTAGAACATTTCTGGCTTGGACTGTCTTGTTTCAACACCTCGGGCTTCTGTTCCAAGAACATTGTCTTGCTCTTGCAGCATCTTTGGAGTTCCGAGAGTATTTCGTGGCAGGCCTTTTAGGAATGCCCGGACGGTCGGTCCCTGCTCAAGTGGGGTCCACATCATGACAAGTCCTAAACTGGGTAGTCGAAGGCCAGACTGTCAGATTGGATTGGGCCCCAAGGGCCAATCTGGCCTGGCCAAACTGGAGGATTTGGGTTATTCGCCAGACTGGATTCGCGTTGGCTCCCTCGTCAGATTGCCCCCGTTTGCCAGATTGGGCCTGCCAGATTGGCGCCAGATTGGCTTCGACTACCCAGCTAAACACATTCGAAGAGCAAAAACAATTGCACACACGTGCACTTTCGGGGCGCCGCGCGGGCTGCTCGCATCGGCGCCGGCGCCCCCCGGCGCGCTCCTCGCGCCAGGAAGGGGGGGGCCAGGCGCTGATTCAAGAAGTCCGCGCGGACTTCCCAAAGTGTTTGCTTGTGTCGCAGGCCTAGAGGTTGACACCAACACCAAGATCGGTGGTCTCCCTCCACCGAGGGAAGAAGATCCCTATCTCGGTGATGGTGGTAATATTCTGGCTTCCAAGGTGACCGAAATATTACCACCAACACCGAAATCTAGGATTATTTTCCCCCTGTGGAGGCAACCCCCCTGTGTTGGTGTTGGTGCCAATTTCCAGGCCTCCAATTGTGCAGTTTTTCGTCCTCTTCAGTAACGCCCAGCTTAGATGCCATTCTTGGGGGCCACGTGGCGGATCTGTTCGACTCGTTCGAGGCTGGTTCGGCTCCAGCTCGACCCCAGCTCGGCTCAAGTTCGAGTCTGGCCCGAGTCGACGGGCGTTCGGCGCAGCATCGGCGCATACGTGGAGGGAGTGGCTCCAGGAAGGTCCCCAGAGCCAGCGTCTGATAACCATGCACCTACCCTGACCCCTGCGTCGCGACAAAAATCGCGACAGCGAGACTTCTGCTATTGCGAAGGCCTTGTGGCCGGTGCCGCCGATGGACCTCCCCCAGTATCCCCGCTGGCAGTTCGTCTTCGGGACCCCCGGGTGCAGCGGGGGGGCGGTGTTCCGACCCGGGATCTCGAAGGGTCCACGCTGCGAACAGACATCAAAGCCACGACGTCGGGGTTCTGGGCAGACGCCTGCGCCGATCCTCGACGAAGAAAGCACGTCAGAACCATCAGCTTTTGGCGCTCCCCCTCCCCCTCTCCCCTTCGCCCCCTCCTGCTCCTCCTCCTCCTCCTCCTCCTCCTCCTCCTCCTCCTCCTCCTCCGCCTCCGCCTCCGCCTCCGCCTCCGCCTCCGCCTCCGCCTCCGCCTCCTTCTCCTCCTCCTCCGCCTCCTCCTCCTCCTCCTCCTCCTCCTCCTCCGCCTCCTCCGCCTCCTCCGCCTCCTCTTCCTCCTTCTCCTCCTCCTCCGCCTCCCCCTCCCCCTCCCCCTCCTCCCCCGCCCCCTCATCTCCTGGAGCCCGCTCGGAACGCCCCGTGGCCAGCCTGGCCAGGCCTCGGAGCCTCCAGGCGCGGTGCGGCTGGCACCGCACCGTGCGGTGCGGTGGGCTGGCCCGCGCCGTGCGGTGCGGTGGCCCCGCGCGGCTTTTGGGGAGTGCTCGGGCCCGTGTCGCCGAGGCCGCCTCCGGGCGGCACGGGGCCTCCATGCAAGGGCCCCGGGGACCGTGCGGTGCGTGGCCGTGCGGCGGCCTTTGGGGGCGGCCATGAGGGGGGTGAGGGCCAGGGTTGCGTCGGGCCTGTCCCTCTACAAGGGGAAGATCCGAACATAGTCAAGGAATCGTCGGGGGACGATTTTTTGTATTATTTTGGACCATTTTTGGGGCATGTTTACGAGATTTGTTATTTTCGGCCAAAATTCCTCTGTAGGAGGACAGGCCCGGCTGAACGAGGACGATCAATGGAGAGGAAGCATGTTGCCAAATAATTCCAGATGTCTTAAACATTTTTAAACATGTAAAACACATGTCTAAAACATGTTCAGGACATGTTTCCGACATTTTAAACACATCTTTAATTCGATGATATGACTGCCAGGATGCCCATTGTCGTGGCATCTACAAGGCTAGGGGGGGTGGATATCATGGCGGGGGCCATGATATTTCCTCAGATTTCATGGCGCCTCTTCTTGCTTCATGGCGTCCCCCCGCCCCCCCCCCTCGCGGCCGCGCACATGCCGCCAGCCCTGGTTTGCGCCCCTCCCCCCCCCTCTTCTTGGACGCCCCCCTCTTGGCCGCCCCCGAGTCATGATTTTCTCTCCTACGTGTTCGAGCGGGCATAACTGAGGCGGTGGTCGCGGGGCTGGGGCCCGGGCCCCGTTGCGTCCTTGCGCTTGTGCCCATGGGTCTTGCATCGGGGGTGGGGGCCGTTTTTCGGCGACCGTCGAAAGATTCAGTGACGTGAACCTGGACCCCCAGGGGTGTGGGCCCCTTCCCCGGGGGCCCGCTTCACGATGCGGAGACATCCCCGGAGCGCTCTCGGCGAGGCGCGAGGGCGCTGGGAGGCGCCCCGAGGCCCCGAGCGCCTCCGAGAGCCAGCGCGCACGCCCCGAGAGCCTCGGTTCAGGAGGGAAAAACCACACAGACACAATGAATCCTCGATTCCCCAGAAAATATGGGAAATATGGGAAGTGGGGGGGGAGACCGAAACCCAGAAAATATGGGAAAATATGGGGAATCATCTTATTTCTGTGCATTTATTTGTGTGTCTTAGGGCCCCCTTCACTCAGGCCTCGCCCCTCGATCCTCGACGCTAACCTTAGGTCCGGCACGCCCTTCTGCATGAGGAAGGGTCAAGAATGGTCCAAACGTGGTCTGGGGACGACTTTCTGTGCCCTTCTGGTGACTCTTCCGGCAAACACCCGCCTGCGGGAGGACAGGTCCGACCCAACGCTGACCTCGATCCTCGACAGTGTCGATGCTCGACGAGAGCCTCGACCTGCGACCTTCGATCCTCGATCCTCGATCCTCGACGCTAACCTTCGATCCTCGACCTGCGACCTTCGATCCGCGAGGAGGAGGAGGAGGAGGAGGAGGAGGAGGAGGAGGGGGAGGGGGAGGAGGAGGAGGAGGGGGAGGAGGAGGATGAGGAGGAGGAGGAGGAGGAGGAGGAGGAGGAGGAGGATCCTCGCTATTGTCGATCCTCGACGAGAGCCTCGACCTGCGATCCTCGGTCCGGGTGTGCGCAGCTGGCGCCCTCCCGAGGACCACGGCGCTGCCGCCGCGCCGCCAGAGCCCGAGCCGAAGCGGCGCCGGGTGGCGGCCGCTTCCGCCGAGGCCGTGGCCGAGGACGCCGCCGCTGGCTGTTCGTCGTTGTCGTCCGTCGTCGTCGTCGTCGTCGTCGCCTTCGTCGTTGTCGAGGTCGTCGTCGTCGTCGCCGTCGTCGACGTCGTTGTCGAGGTCGTCGTCGTCGTCGTCGTCGTCGTTGTCGAGGTCGTCGTCGTCGTCGTCGCCGTCGTTGTCGTCGTCGTCGTCGTCGTTGTCGAGGTCGTCGTCGAGGTCGTCGTCGAGGTCGTCGATACCGTCGCCGCCGCCGCGGTCGCGGTCGCGGTCGCCGTCGCCGCCGTCGCGCGGCGGCGCCTGTCGCTGCCGTCACGACGTTCTGTTGAAGTTTTCCTGCCTCCGGGGGCCCTGGTCCTCTCCAGGGGCCACGGCCGCGCGAAGCCCGAGATGATGGTCCGAGAGCGGGCGTCCTCGCGTCGTCGTCGTCGTCGTCGTCGTCGTAGAGGTCGTCGTCTTCGTCGTAGTCGTCGTCGTCGTCGTCTTCGTCGTTGTCGAGGTCGTCGTTATCGTCGTCGTTGTCGAGGTCGTCGCGAAACAAAAGCACGACGGCACGCTTCTTTTGCATGCTCGGCCCTGGAAAGGGCCCCTGCCGGGCCCCAGGGCCGTGCCTGGGATGAACATTTGGGTCCCCGAGAACGCGCCCAGGACCGTGCCCGGGGAGGCACGTGGCGAAGACGTCGGGCCGTCGGGCGCGTGCGGCCCGCGCGCGGCCCCCGGGCCGTCTCTCGGCGGTCCCCCTCGGCTCGGAGGGCGCGCTCCGAGGGCGCGGGGGTGTTCGTGTGCTTCGCGTGCTTGGTCTTCGAGATCTGATGATGGTGTTGCTGATGCTGATGCTGATGCTGATGGTGATGGTGATGATGATGGTGATGATGATGGTGGTGATGATGGTGGTGGTGGTGATGCTGGTGGTGGTGATGATGGTGGTGGTGATGCTGCCGCTGATGATGGTGACGGGGATGATGCTGATGACGATGATGCTGATGCTGTTGATGACGATGATGGTGAGGGTGATGGTGATGGTGATGATGATGCTGATGATGATGGTGATGATGATGCTGCTGCGGATGGTCATGATGATGATGCTGATGCTGATGCTGATGCTGATGCTGATGCTGATGATGATGATGATGATGATGATGATGATGATGATGGCGATGATGATGATGATGATGATGATGATGCTGCGGATGATGATTATACTGATGATGATGGTTATGCTGCTGCTGATGATGATGGTTGTGATGGTGGTGGTGATGATGCTAATGACGATGAGATGCTGATGACGATGAGGACGATGATGATGCTGATGATGATGATGATTGTGACAATGATGATAATAATGATGATGATGCTGCTGCTGATGCTGATGATGCTGATGTTGAGGATCAGGATGAGGATGCTGATGATGTTGATGATGACGATGACGATGATGACTATGATGACGATGATGATGATGATGATGATGATGATGATGAGGATGATGATGATGATGATGATGATGATGATGATGATGATGATGATGATGATGATGATGATGATGATGATGATGATGTTGTTGTTGTTGTTGTTGTTGTTGTTGATGCTGCTGCTGATGATGATGGTAATCATGATTATGATGATGGTGATGATGATGATGCTGATGATGATGACGATGATTACTATGATGACGATGATGCTGATGCTGCTGATGATGCTGATGATGCTGATGATGATGGTGATGCTGCTGCTGCTGCTGCTGCTGCTGATGATGATGATGATGATGATGATGATGATGATGATGATGATGATGATGATGATGATGATAATGATGCTGATGCTCATGATATGACGATGATGACGATGATGAGATCTCTCATGAAGATGGTGAGAAACAGGCAGTGCGTGAGCATCGTGGTCGGGTCGACTTTGTTGTTTCGCTCGATGGCGGAACCGAGCAAGATGAAGCTCGTGAGGAGTGCCTTGCTGTTGCTGCGTCTTGTGGCGATGGGAATTCGCAGCCCGACCTACGGCACCGTGCTCTGTCTTGAGCCCTAGTAGAATTAATGAATTGGGCTTCCTCGCTGAGGCCGTTTTGGACGCTCTGACCGCTCGCGGCCCCCCCCGTCCAGGTCCACGGGGAGGGAGTAGGGGGAGGGGTCAAGATACCCCCTCCCCGCCCGCAAGCCGTCTCGCTCACTCCCACCCGCCCTCCCAACACATACGTAGCACCGGAGTCTGGCCCGAGCCTGAGCATATTCAGCAGTCGTCTTTGGATGGGCAGCCACTGGGGGCTTATCCGCCGCGGCCGCCGCCGCCGCCGCCGCCGCCGCTGCCCGCCGCCGCCGCCGCCGCCGCCGCCCCGACCGCGCCGCCGCCGCCCGCCGCCGCCGCCCGCCGCCGCCCGCCTGCCGCCCGCCGGCACCTGCCGCCGCCGCCCGCCTGCCGCCGCCGCCGCCGCCGCCGCCGCCGCCGCCGCCGCAGCCGCAGCCGCCGCAGCCGCCGCCGCCTCCGCCAAGTGTACTTTGTATTGTTTTTTGACAGGGATGGTGGGGGGGGGCGCATCGGGTTGGCTGCGCACGTTCTGAATTTAGAGGCAGAGTGGGGGGGTGTTGGGATGGACCTGGGTTGGCCCCCAGTCGCCTGGGGGAGGGGGTGTTTATTAATAGGGAACAGTGATAAACCCTTGCCCGAAGGGGAAGAGGGAGGGGTGGAAGAGGAACCGCCCTAAACCACCGACGCCCAGAGGGCTGGTGGGATTCGCAGCCCGACCTACGGCACCGTGACCTGTCTTGCGACCGACACGCTCCGACGTCGCCCACGGGGCGGCCGTCGGCCTCGGCTTCGTGTGAGGCCCGCGCGTCTGCCGCCGCCGAGGCCGCGCCCCGCTCTCCCCCGTGCTCCTCCAGTGCCCCTGCGCCACGGGGAGAGCAGTCTGGGTCCGGGGGGGCTGCTGCTGCTTCTCCTCCTCCTCCTCCTCCTCCTCCTCCTCCTCCTCCTCAGCTCTGTGATGCAATTCTTCACTACGCCACGCCACGCCATGCTGTGATATGTTACGCTTTGCGCTGCTCTTCTACGCCATGTCATGCCATGCTCTACAATGCATCGCGTACCCCCTCGGGATCATTGCCCTGCTCAACATCCGACTGTGCGAGTAGAGAGGGGATCTACGCCATGGTAAGGTGTGGGAGGGAGGGGTAGGATGTCAGATATGACGCGAGCGCACCTAGCTTGTCCCCCTCCCCCTCCCCCTCCTCCCCCCCGCTGTCCCCGCTCGCAGCACAACGCTGTGCGCGTTTTCCGGGATGATGGTTTCGGGAGCAGCCTGGCGGGGTCCGCGGCGCGCCTCCTTGGGTTTACAAGCTCGTCGTTTTTTTTCCATGGTGGTGTGCGGGGGCGTGTGACCTCTGTGAGGTGTGGGCGGGCCAGAAGCCAGAATTCGCGGCAGTTGTGGCGGTTTTAGGGAACACCGAGGTTATCGGAGTCACCTGTATGCCCCCGTAGGTGTTTGTCTGTGTCCTCCTCCACCTCCTCCTCCTCCTTCTCCTCTTCCTCCTCCACCTCCTCCTCCTCCTCGTTCCCGCCCCCTCTCCCTCCCGCTCCTTCCCTTCCTCCTCGCCCTCCCCTCCACCCCCACCTCCAACGACGGCGTCCACGATGCCTCCCCGAGCCGGGGATGGGGAATGTCTCGAGCGAGAGGGGGACCACACCACCGGGAGGACCCTCCCTGGCGCGTCGCGCTTGTGGTGGTCACCTCTACTTGTTCCTGTCCTGCCCATGCCCCCTGGACAGCCCCCCTTGCCGTCCCCAGGCGCCCGACGTGCCGAATTTCTCCATGCGGGGTTCCCGCAGGCCTGGACCTTGTCACCAGGGCCAGCTCATCTTCCCGAGTCGCTGTTTGTCAAGCAGTCGCGAAGCGTCCTGGCGCGCCTACGGCCCTACCAACCAATGTTCTAAGAACCTTTTGTGCGCCTATGGCCCTACAAACCAATGTTTTAAAATCCTTTTGTGGTTTCCACGAAATATTATCAAAACATTTTTGGCTGAAGCTGTCTTGTTGTACCACATCGGGTTTATGTTCTAAGAATATGGTTTTTGTTATTAGAGCATTTTTGGGTTCTACGAACAGGTTGTGGTAGGACTACAGGAATGCCGGGACGGCCGGTCCCTGCTCAGGTTTGATGGCCCCTGGACCCAGCCGGGGCCCCCAGAGCCGTAAAACCAGACGGGCTTCCGCACGGAACTTTTCCAGGACGCTGGGGGTCCTTCCTCTTCCTCCTCCTCCTCCTCCTCCTCCTCCTCCTCCCACTCCTACTTCTCCTCCTCCTCCTCCTCCTCCTCCTCATTCTCCTCCTCCTCCTTCTCCTCCTCCTCCTACTCCTCCTCGTTTAGGGCACCGCGGCGGCGCTGTCGCGCCGGCAGGGGGGGGGGGGCCCGCAGGAGGGAGCCAGTGGTCCCGTGGTGGTCGTCCTGGAGGGCGAGGAGCAGGAGGCCGAGGACGGGGCCGCGGCCGAGGAGCTGGACGAATCTAAAGGGTCCACTTCGCCGCTTTTTCCCCCGTCCCCTCTACCGGGCCCAGGGCCGTACTTCCCTTATTTGCTTTTGTTTTTGTTATTGTTGTGGTGTTGTCCGGCCGTTGCCCTCCTCAAGACTCCCTCCTTCCCCATCAATGTCACATACCATAGCCTCATCCTCCTGCACCCCAGCCTCCGCATCCCCTGCCACATCAGCCTTCCCACTCATCCTCCTCATCAGCATCCGTTACCGACCTCCAACAGCCGACTCAACACAATCTTACTCTCAACATACGACGTTCCATCCTCACTCAGTAATACTCGTCTCTACTGTGCCTCGTGACTACGCCCTTCTTCTTCCTCCTTCCTCCTTCCTCCTTCCTCCTTCTTCCCTCCTCCTTCCTCTTCCTCCTCGCGCTCAGCAGGGTCATGTATTGTACGTAACGCCCCGCAGTTGCGGATCAGAGTGAGTGGACCGCGGGGACGTCGGCAGTTTGCGAGGCTCTGACGAAGCCCGCCGCAGGCGCTTCATTTTTACAGACATACAACGAGCTCGCCGCAGGCACCAGTTCTTTCGTTCAAGCAAAGAAGGTGGTTCGCGGGGTGGGTCGCAGCCGGGTCGCGGGTGGGTCGCGGGTGCGTCGCGGGTGCGTCGCGGGCCGGGTCGCGGGTGTGTCGCGGGTGTGTCGCGGGCGGGTGGCGGGGTGGTCGCGGGTGGGTCGCCGGCGGGTCTCGGGGTGGGTCGCGGGTGGGTCGCGGGTGGGTCGCGGGCCAGGTCGCGGGTGTGTCGCGGGTGTGTCGCGGGCGGGTGGCGGGGTGGTCGCGGGTGGGTCGCCGGCGGGTCTCGGGGTGGGTCGCGGGTGGGTCGCGGGTGGGTCGCGGGCCAGGTCGCGGGTGGGTCGCGGGTGGGTCGCGGGCCAGGTCGCGGCTGGGTCGCGGGGGGGACGACGACAACAAACAAAAAACAATAGCAAGCAACAACAACAACATCACCACCGCCACCACCAATAGCAGCAACAGCATCATTAACAACAATAGCAACAACAGCAACAACAACATCACCACCACCACTGGCAACAACAGAAACAAAAACACTACCACCACCACCACCACCACCACCACCAAACACAACAACAACAATTTCTCTACTGTTCGCTTTTATTTGCTCGCGGGCCAGTCAACACGTATATCCCAATCCCTCGATACCCGCCCTCTTCGTCTTCGATCGTACCTCCCTGGGAGGATTAATCTTTGTTGCCTGTATTGTGGATTTCGTGCAGCCCCTAAGGCAGGGAGGAAGAAGAAGGGGGGAATGAACGGACAAGGGGAGCACGAGAGAGAGTGGCAGGAGGGGTGCTCGTAACAGAATACATGTGGCAGAGCCAGACGGGCAGATCGGGCGGGTAGACCCTAGCGGGTGGGTCGGGAAAGCGGACCCAGGCGGTCAGGTCGAGCAGGCGGGTTGCTGAAGCGTGCGTCATGCATGAATCGCGAGGACGTCTCCAGCGATAGCGCGATTCCCAACTAACTCGCCAGGAATTTCACAGCGAGAGCGTGATTCCTGAATGTCGAGGGCGCGGCGTCTGAATAAATGGCGGGGAAATCCCACGCGAGAGCGCGAGTCCTGCGTAAATTGGGAGGAGGTCCCGCGCGAGATCGGGATTTCTCAATACACTGTGAGGAATTATCCGGCGGGAATCGTTGTTGTCGCAACTCGGGGGACATGGGCGTTGTTTGAGGCTCATGTTTTATACTGATAGAAAAGCAGGGTGCAAGCCCCGGGAGGGGCACTTCAATTGAACAAATACAATGTGCACCTGGCAGGGGGATCAACAATATTTATTCGTCAACAATGGGAGTTCAACAACAACAGCAGCAACCACACCACCACAAGCATCAACACACATACAACCAACAACAGCAACAACATCACACACAACAACACCAATAACAGTAAGACCACTAACAAGAACACCAACAACAAAACAACAACGTTACCAACAAAGTCGCCAACAACAACAGTACCAATACCACCACCTTCAACACCAACACTCACCACCACCACCAATGACAACACGAACAACACGAACAACACCATCAACAACACCAACACCAACGACAACACCAACAACACCAACAACAACAACAGCAACAACCCGCACCGCGTAACCTCTCCTCGGCTACGTGCCAAGGGGCAGTGCATGCCTTCGGCCCCCTCACTTTGATGATCGGTGCGCTCGCCGGGTCCATCGACGGGGATGGGGCCTGCAGGTTGTCGCGAGGGGTTGCCCCTGAACGCTCGGCCGAGTGGCGTCCCCCCAAACCGGGAGAGGCCTCCTGGAATGGCGAGCTGTGCGCCTCCCACACCGAGTTGCGTGAGCGCACCAACCCGTCCCGCGCAAAGAACGACCCCAGGCATCCTTTGGGCCGAGGATAGGAGGGGAGATGGCGGGGAGGAGGAGGGTGAGGAGGACGGAGGAGGGGGGGTGTGAGGATGAAAGGAGGGGAATGGAGGGGCAGGAGGAGAAGGAGAAGGAGGGAGGATAGGAGGATGAGGATGAGAGGAGGGGATTGGAGGGGGTAGTTGGGAGGAGGAGCCAGGCCGGCGTTCTTCACCCTAAGTCCCCCCCCCGCCTCTGAAGGAAGAGGGTCCTGAGGAGACCGAGTCCTGGACCCCTAGGCTCTCTTTGCAGGACCAGCATGTCATCTTCAGTATTTTTTTGGCGGTCGGAGGGCCCGTGAAGGGCCCCGAGCTCATGGAGAAGCTTCAGGGCCACGTTCCTCCAGGCCCCGCTCCCTGCATGCCAGCACCCCCCTCCCAGGCTCCATTTTGTCAGATCGATCCGATCCGATATCGATTCTGGCTGGTTCGATCTGATTCTTTTCTGTTGCTCCGGCGGCTGGACGCGGCCCGGTGCCTGCATTGCGCTGCTGTGCGTCCCAGCGCTGACGCTCCGACTCGATCTCGACCCCGTGCCGACGCAAGTTTCGACCCATGCAGACTTCTGGATTCGATGCTCTGAGGCTCCGGGGCAACGACTCACCACCCACCAAACCACCCCAACCCAACCCGAAGGCCTGAATTTGCCCCCCACTCCAGTGGGGGGGAGGGGTCCGGGAACATCGAAAAAACACACTGGAGCCCATACCCCCCCCCAACCCGAAATTCGGGTCTTCGGGTTGGGTTGGGGTGGTCTGGTAGGTAGTCAACGACAGGGCAGGCGCTCGTCGCCGGCCAGGGCCCAGGCGGCCCAACCCGTCCTGGAGCGGGCGGCTTCACCGTCGAGTATCTGGGGGCCTGAGGAGCGATAGGCCCCCGATGCCCCGAGGCCCGGCACCTTGGCATCGGCGATGCCTCGACAGTATAGATCGGCGACATCGCCGATCAACCGTCGATCTCTCGCCGATGCCAAGTTGCTGTTCCCGGCCCTTGGGCCAGTCCGCCCGACGTGGGGCCAACTAGAAGGGTTCGAAGGATGGCTGCCGCGCTGCCGATGCATCGGCTGTGCGGCGCGCTCCGGAGCCCGACCCCAGGCCGACGTCGCCCGCGCATCGCCGGTGCGTCGGCGATGCGGCGCCGTCCTCAGACCCCGTCTGCTCCGGATCCACATGGGGCGCCTCCACGATCCTTCCCACCTCAGACCCTGGCATCCGACTGCTTTTTTTTTGTTGTTGTTCCTCACGAAGTGGATCCGCAGAGGTCTGGGCCCCTTCCCCGAGGCTGGCGTTGAGTGCCAGGTCATCTTCTGACGGTCCAGGGGCCCGTCGAGGACCCCTCCAGAGACCAGACATTGCAAAAGCCTCGCGTTGCGTTCTTTGTTGTTGTTTAGTTTTTTTTTTTTTTTGTGCGATGCCAGGACTTCAGAGGCTGCTGATTGGTCCCGCCCTCGCTTCGGCATCACCCAGACATGCTTGCGCAGTAGATGTTGTTTTTTGTGTGTGTTTCTGTGTGTTGGTGTGTGTCTGTGTGTGTGTGTGTACGTGTGTGTGCGTGTGTGTGTGTGCGTGTGTGTGAGAGAGTGTTTGTGTGTGCGTGTGCGCGTGCGTGCGTGTGCGCGTGCGTGCGTGCGTGCGTGCGTGCGTGCGTGCGTGCGTGCGTGTGTGTGTGTGTGTGTGTGTGTGTGTGTGTGAAGGTGTGCTTGTGTGTGTGTGTGTGGTGTGAGAGTGTTTGTGTGTGAGTGTGCGCGTGCGTGCGTGCGTGCGTGCGTGGTGCGTGCGTGCGTGCGTGCGTGCGTGCGTGCGTGCGTGCGTGTGTGTGTGTTGTGTGTGTGTGTGTGTGGTGTGTGTGTGTGTGTGTGTGTGTGTGTGTGTGTGGGGGTGAAGGGCGCTGTGTGTGTGTGTGTGCGTGGTGTGTGTGTGTGTGTGTGTGTGAGTGTGTGTGTGGTGTGTGTGTGGTGTGTGTGTGGGAGTGTTTGTGTGTGCGTGTGCGCGTGCGTGCGTGCGTGCGTGCGTGCGTGCGTGCGTGTGTGTGTGTGTGTGTGTGTATGTGTGTGTGTGTGTGTGGGTGAAGGTGCGCTTGTGTGTGTGTGTGTGCGTGTGCGTATGTGCGAGTCCGCATCAGCGACGCGTGCACTCAGCAATCTTGTAGTACATGATCGATTGCGGGCGCTTTCTGGCCTATCGCCTGGGTAGTGATAGGCTACGAGTTTTTTGTGCTACACGTTCGGTTCGGACGCGCGCGTCCAGGGGGGGCGCATACTACGGTGGGCGGAAACAATTCGGGAACACCCCCTCTCCAGGGCTCATTTCGATTACGCCGATTCGATTCGATTCGATTTCGAGGGGTTCCGATTCCGATTCGATTCGACTTGGGATTCCGATTTGGGCTCCGATTCCTGAATGCAGGCCTTCTAGCCTACCGATTTCCGCCGATTCGATGTTTCCCAACTCGGCTGCCGATTTCTGTCGCTCCGATTCATTTCGATCGCCGATCCGACTTCGCCATCCGATTCTGGGCTCTCCTGCCCCTCTCCCCCGAGACTGAAGGTTGGCGCGTCGGGG